TCCTCTTCGGCCCAGGCTCGGTAAGACTTAGGTTCAGCTGGGGTTGGGTGGGGGCTATCTACAAGCCAGATCGACAAGTGAGCAGTGAAAGTGATGTGCTAACAGGCTAATGGAGCACTGCTTATTCTCGAGTATGCAGCGAACGTGAGTGTGCATGCATGAGTATGTGTGTTTGTGTGTGTGTGTATATGTGTAGAGACAAAGAGATGCATACGTGTGCGCGTGTGTTTGGTCATAGAAACGACAAACTGGCAATTGGTGATAAAAAGAAAAACAAATAGAATATGTGTCTACACAGTATCTACACTGCCGTCTTAGTTGGTGCCATTTTTCTGCGTTTAGGCCCCATTGTACGACCATACCATACCATACTAGCCGACTGGCATGTCCACAAGCCGAGGAACCGAGATGTATACATGCGAACAGACGCGCAGTCATGCAGGCAAGAGAATGAAGCAGGGCAGGGATAAAAGGTGGAGGAAGGGGTCGAGAGAGATTGAGCATGGTTGGCCTTATTAGGACTCAACTTGATGCTCCGATTTCTGGACTCAAAATAGTCGCTAGCCCTTTTGACATGTTGTGTAGGCGACATCAAGAGAACATTTTGGGTCAGTGCTTCGTGAAGCCATTCCGCCAGGACTCGCCTCACCAGCCAAACCAGACAAACCAGACAAACCAGACAAACTGGCAAGCTTGTTCTGCGAATGTCAGCAGCCATCCCGGCCCAGAGGTCGGGCCCCTAGGCCCAGCCAGACCTCGGGCCGCCCCAGACTGCCTCAACCGACGCGGCCTGAGCAAGAAGATTTCATGTTAAATGTCAAGACGCTGAGCCTAATCTGGTGCTCAGTGCACTGACCTACTCGGCTAACTTCGTCAGGGCCGACATGTCTGCGCGATGAATTACAACCCGAAAGGTGGCAATCGCTGATACCCTCTCATTCAGTGGGCGCAAAGGGCGAATCTGTCCTAATGACAGAGAACAGTGAAGTGGCAACAGTGTGTGCTCATGTCCTAAGAAAACGGTTATAAGAACAATTCTAGCTATAGCATAAGAGATGTAGTGAATGGTATGCACACTTTAAGGGAGAAAAAGGGAGAGGCGAAAAGGCTTAACAATTAGCATACAGCTCGAGAGACACAATAGGAAAGACTGATAAATGAAAGGAGAGCTGAGTAGATGTATAGAAGACACATTAATCTATAGATGGGCGGAAGGATAGTGGATAAGGGGTTGAGTCAACAAATGTGTAGCTTACACAAAGAACAAAGAAGGACCCATTTGATATAGAAATATGATCAATAACGAATAAAAACAAGAATGCAGTTAAAAGATATATATATATATGTATATATATATATACATAAAGAGTGAGAGGCTCGAAGATAGACCAAGAGGGAATTCAATTTGCTAACGGGTTGACGAATGGACGGAAGATAGATAGGTCAAAAGATGATTAACTTTTAGAATGCACTCAAGGCGGTTTTAGAAAAGGAGCTTGAGGAGATGATAGGCGAGAAGAGGAAGCTATGATGACATCTTTAGGAAAGAGGTGAGGTGAAGGTATGTGGCAGTCGAGGCAAAAAATTAGAGGAATTAGGGCCAAGGAAAAGTGCACAGTCATAGTCAAATAAGAGGTGCAGATGCTTATCCAGCAGACCACAAAGCAAAGGCTAAATTGACTGGATGTATGACGACACTTGTCTGTAAGCAATTCACTAGTTTGTGGGATCAAACAGGTTTGGATTAGCTTAAGAACAAAATAGCTTTGTACGAGCAGAAATTGGATCCAGTAAGCTTAGTTATATCAGATTCAAAAGCAGTAGTAACTAATGTAGAGGACCGCAACTTGACGCGAGCTCAAAGTTGCAAGACATGCATATTCATTAACTCTTAATAAACCTCACTGAGCGTAAATCCGCATTGGATAGGCATGGGCAAGAATGTGCGGAATATCAGAAGATAAATTTTCATGTGATAGGTAAAGCATTTTGGCAGATTGCTTGGTCAACATGCACTGTTTATCTATTTA